TGGGATACAAACATTAAGTGGACATCCATCCAACGAGGGAAAGGCCAGAAAAATAGACGAAAGTTCACGAAACAAGTACGTGGATGGCTCTGTCGTCAGAAAATGGAGTCGAAATGGGGGAATTATACCGCCCCTTTAAGAGAGGCCCTCTTCCAAGCATCTTATCAACAGCTGCCGCAGCATCCACGCGGCCGAAGGAGAGAGTCTTTTCTCCTTTATTATCCTTGACCCCTTTGGTGGCCGTGACCATGATGACACTTTTGATGTAAGCAGGAGTCAGCTTAGTCTTCAGTGAAGGCTCAAGGCTGTAGAGCATCCCAGCTATACCTGCTACGATAGCGGCGGCACCCGAAGTGCCTGTACCCCTGCTGTACCCCTCATTGAAATTTGTTTCAGCTAAATTGTAACCTGGAGCGGCAATGTCAACAGCTGAGCCAAAATTGCTTTCGTCATCAAGCTGCATTTTGGTACCATTGGTGGCTGCAACACAGAAGATTCCTCCACCGTGTAGTCCCCGGCGGGAACAAGGATAGTATTCGGTCTTGTCCATGTCCAGATGCCTATTCCCTGCAGATATCACAACGAGCATGCCAGCTACAGCAGCTCTCTGAATTATCTGCATCGGCAATGGGACGGGTGCTGTGAACCCATCCGTTAACAGGACCACTTTAACATCACCTTTCTTCTCACGGATGAGATATTCGAGAGCCTTAGTGTCATTGACGTTAGTCGGTATCTCACCCTTGAATATGGGCAGTATGCTTACACCGTCCAGAATAGTATTCTGAGAACACCTGCAATACCGATCTTGTTATTTCTGATAGCACCAATGATGCCAGCCATGTTGGTTCCATGCGGTCCTCAAGGTCTGGTATCACTATTACCATCAACGATGTTGTAGCCCTCGATGACGACGCCCTCCAAATCAGGATGACTTGCTTCGATTCCATTGTCTATAGTCGCGATGGTCACGTGTGTTCTCTTCGGAGCAGAGTCTACGATGCCCCAAGCCTTCGGTACAGAGATGGCCTCAAGATAATCCTTCTGCACATAATAGAATCGGTCGTTGGGATCGCCGTTCATAGGACCGAGCCCACGGATATGTTCATTCCCACCCACCCTAGCCTTGACATAAACATAGTCGCACGAGAAAAACCAGAATGATGTTACGAGAGGCTTCATTGTGACTCACAATGAGCGAACACGCAACGAACGCGCAACGAACAACTCATTGTAGTGCCTCACAATTTGTGAGGCACTAGAATGAGGACCAATTTCTAGAGTTGAGTCCATACTATACAATACCTGAACCAGTAGTAGTAGTAGTAGTAGTAGTAGTAGTAGTAGTAGTAGCAGTAGTAGTAGTAGTAGTAGTAGTAGTAATAGTAGTAGTAGCTCAGAGTTTCCATACTATCACCAACAAACATGGTCAACCATATGCAATGCATATTACGCATATCCCCCCACCCTGTGACAAGCCCTCCTTGCAATACCACAACACCACAGCATTCTACAGCAGACACAACAACAACAACAACAACAACAACAACAACAACAACAAC